AGGTAGGGTTGTGGGGGTGGGTGGGGGGCGGGAAGCCTCCAGCGTAAAAGTATGTTTGTATCAATCTAAAGATGATCATGAACAAATTTGGAAATTTTTACATTTCCTTATGGAAGCATCAATTATGTTCTGTCATACTGCTTCCTCTTTCAAAATACAAACAGTAGATCATAATTGTTCTCCTTTTTTCTAAGGAAAAGCTGTAGCATTCAAATTCTAAAATGACAGCATACTACAACTGCTATGTTTTTACAAGGGATTAAAACCACCACCATCAAGGCTTTCAGGGTTAATTTGAGTTATGGTTCAAAACAAACTGCTCTTTTGCACTCAACACTCCTTAATCCTGAAGCTTGGTTTGCAACAAGCCATTTCAAGGCAAAAGACTTGCAGATAACTTCATGTCGCTATACTGTGAACTATTCCAGCCTTACCTTGCTTTTTTCCCAACTTGTTTCATTACTACAGCAAGTTATCTTCAGTCCTTTACCATTATCATATTTAAGATGTATTTTTCAGTTTGCATTTTAGTATTTAAATGCGTAATGCTATCCTGAGGTAGATTCAATTTTAATGTTTCACTAGCTCATAGCTGTGGCCACCTTTCTGACTTAATAGCAAAGAGCTGTCCACTGTAGCGTTATACTTTGCTCTAAATATAATATTTTAAAGCCTGGATGGTGATCCCTTTAGAACCAAAATATCTGCCTGTTAAATAATTTTATTTATTTGATTTTTATTAGTACATTAATCTTCACAAGATTTCACAAATACATACAGATTGGTACCAAAAGCGAGCAATGCATTTTTAGCATCCTCCAGCTTTTAAAAGGCAGGAAAGTTTCCCTGGATATTTACAAGGAAGACTGCAAGCTTGCCTTTGAGACCTCTCGCGTGTAAAAAGCAAAGCAAAACACAACAAAAAACAAAAACCTGCGCTCAGTAATTGATCTGTTTTCAGTAGAGAAAGTAGAAACAAAATATCTTACGGTAAGATTACAAACAGAAAACTTACTGTACTCTGTATTTTCCTGCCAAAAAGAATGCAGTAAATTTTGTACGTTTTAAAGCTATAGTAAAGAATCAAATAGAGTGGAGCCATATACCACAATCTCATGGCCCACTTCTGAAAGCTGTGCCAAGGTATTTTTGATGACCGATCAGTCAAACATTATTTCATACTGAAAACTATATATTACCAGAAACACAGACACAGCTTTTAAAGATTAAAATAAATCACTGTCCCAAAAATAAAATTTTAGTCAATTTATAATGCATAATTTGACATTATTATTCATTCCAATATGTTTATACTTCTTACTAAAATGGTATTTTAGCCAGCTGTTGCATCATTTAAATCAATATCCATGTGAGTTTTCCAATAACTTAATGTTCTAAATAAGTATATTGCTCCACCACTTCACAACTTCAAGTCAACCAGAAGACTTTTTTTTCCTGTGTTCGGTCTGGCAACAGTAACAAACATTAGGGGATGTTTTTAATTAATACCTCATCATTTACTTTTTTCCTCCTTGGAGAAAGGAGACAAACTGTTTATATTCACAACAATATTTAATGCTTCATAAATCTTGGGAATTCAACTTAACCACAATATAGCATATTTAAATTGTAACTAATGCTACATTACACAGATCCATAACAGCAGACAGGGATTAAGTGCAAAGAGAAACCAATTTTCTTTAGTGCTTCAGTTATTTGATATCCCCGTAACAAAATGGATTAAATACAACCCAGTATTTTAACTGTATTTTCAGCCTAACTGAAAACATGGCAATCTAGGAGGGAAAGAAATTTTCTTTGAACAGTAATTTTCTTTTATTCGGTTGTTGGTCTGCTAATAGTTTAGGCTCTTCTCTCCTGAGAAAGTCTCCTTTTCAATTATCATCATTTTCTACACAACATTTCTCCACAACCAAATGAAGACAGGTTTTAACATCTGTTAGTTTAAACTGTTTTAGAAGGAAATTTATTTATTTTTATCCACCAAAAAGTAGCTGAACTGTATTGCTCCTTTATAAAAAGGCTTTGATTTGTACTCTGGAAAGATCATCTCATCAAGCCACAGGTGAAGTTTCAGAAGAAATGGTACCTTTGAGAACTACAAAGCTTTTTCATTATATATCACGAGAGATGAACTGTGTTACTGGAGGATGGTTACGTCTCTACCGTAAACTTCTCATTCATTCATGCAAGAGTTATTATCTTGTTGGTATTTAAAGCTATAGCTGATTGGGATGCCCTAAGTTTTGCTCTATATGCAAATATTCTTAAGGATTGTTAGCCTTGTACCCCAACGTAAATGTGGAGTTAGTCTTCTGAAGTCAGCATTTAATAGAGGAAAGGCAGGCTGGAACAACACTAGTTGCTATTTTTAAACTTGTGTTACAGAATTTGCATAGCTTTTTGTTTAAATATAAATTACATTGCATAAAATGCCATAACCTTGTCTTTCAAATCCACCTAGCTTTGTTGGGCCTTCCAAAGCAAAGTCTCCCATACCTGCAAGTCTATTATTCACTATGTTGTGTTTCTCCCAGAGCCAGAGAACAGCCTTGTCTAAGGTCTTAACGGAATCCATGGATTCTTTAGCCATTTCTTCAAAATGCTGAGCGCAAGCCTTGCATCCAAAAAAGTGCTGAATGTATCTCCGCATGATCTGAAGCACCATTTGTGGATTGTCTTCGAGACCTAAAAAGATAGATCATAAATACATTTAGCATCATCTAGATAAACATAGCTTTAACATATGCAATTAAATGCACCTAAAAGTGAATCATGGGAAAAGGAAAGCAAATGTTGCTACCTTCTCATTCCACCTGAAGTTATATTTTTAAATAAAGTTATATCCTTTAAATATAGGAAACTAGCTACTTTCATAATTTAAAGATATCCATAGCACATGTGCTATCATACAGAACCCATACCTCAGTAAGTCACAGAGAGATTAAAGGGATTAAAAGCTTCACACATTTCTTAGAAGAAAAAATCCCCCCCAACAAAAAATACATTTATAATACTGTCGCTAAGTAGTTGAGGCGAGACATTTATTTGTTTATGTGTGTCACCAAATAATTTTGTTTCTAATGTAGAGGTTAAAATGACCTCAAACAGTGTGTTTCAAAACATATTGTTTTGAAGGATTGCCTGGGAAATCAGACACAACTACAAGGGAATTATTTCAAACACACTGAGGTTAAAAAAAAGTTATGAGAGGGATAGTGCTAGTAAAATTGCTGCACATAAATTTTACTACCTAAAAAAGGAGCTCTTTATACCAACATTTAATCCATACAGTTGTGTTCAAAGTTAGCCTGAATAACGCATCAAGTGTAACAGTTTAAGGTTTAATGTTCTTTATTGTTAAATTTCTCCGTTTAAAGAACATGTGACAACTGGCAGGGGGCGGGGGGAAAGGGAGGGGGAAACAAACTCAACTAAATGAAAACCAGATAGTAAAACATTTCTCAGAAGAACATTATGGGAGTACATTTTGACACTGTTAAAACATGCAAAGTCCATGCTATATTCTACACGATTCTTTCGGAAATAGAGATTTTTCTCTATCTTGCCCAATAATTAAATGGACGTATTTGTTATGCTTTCACCATTACATTTATGCTCAGACATTAAATTATGGTGATCTTGCTACTGAAAAACAAGGGTTAAAACCCCTCTGATAACTATTTCAAAAAGATATCGGTGATATCTGTCTGTCCCTCCATAACTTTGAGATATTACGGAACACCAGAATATCATCACAATTATTAATAGCATAGCTTTTTGGGGGAGCACTGAATGCACGCACATAATGGTTACTTAGCAATATTTGAATTTTTAAAAATAACTCACAATTTTCTCCTAAAATAAATCAAAACACATGATTCTATCCATAACATTCACACCCTTATCATGAAAACAATGAGAAAGAATCATTGTTTCTATCAGAAGTAGGCTAAGGTCTTTACAGACTGAGGACTTTGCCCTCTACCTTTATTGCTACTGCAGGTAGTCCCTACTCCTCTAAGTGGCTGGGAAACCTGATATTATTCATTAAAATTCTAATGACTTCATTGCTGTCTCAGAGATTTTTCAATTCATACTTAATTGATCTAGTAAATTGTGCTAAAAAGTATTTACGAATGTACTATATTTTACCACAAACATATCCTGGTCAAACAAAACATTTTGTGACGCAGTGTCCTAGATTGATCAAATTACCAACCGCTGCAGTTGAACACCTCTACACGAGAGTAATTTGCAATGCAGGAGGTTTTGTAGGTTCTGTGGTAATGGGTTACAGTGCTTAGCTGCCTATCCTATTCTAGTAGTGAATAATAAACAGTTCAGTAGCACGTATTCCCTCCCTACATACGTTGTTTCTTGGAGAAAAAAATCCTTAAAAAAAGCTATTCAAAGCTAGCAGAGTATTTATCTGTTACAGACATGAGAAATGTGTGAAGACTGTCATAAAACACGTTCATTTAGGACAGCAGCATTATACTCTTCAACGTGGGGAAAAATGTTTTTAAAAACAAAAAGAAATCATAAAAAGCAAACAATTTCTACTCAGACATTCAATATCTGTGATTGAAATGGTATGTATAAATAAAAAAAGCTATGAGATTAAAGCAGATTAAATAACAGCATTAAAAGAAAGGCTGAAAAAATTTTGGAAAGTTGAAATGATTTTCAGGCAAATCAGTTTTACCAAGTATACTACAATATAGACGTAAAAAAACACCCATAACAAAGGTAACTACTGGCAAACAACCTCTTTACAGAGGAACAGAGATTCATACACCAATTTAATCACATACGATCTCCTGTGTAATTTTACAATCCTGAAAAATTTAGGTGAAGTTCACTTTGTCGGGAGGTCTTCCAAGTTTAGCAATAGATTAAGAATAACTCAGATATACTTTTTGTAAAAAAACAAAAACAAAAACCACAAGCCTGTTCTATTCACACAAATAGAGCCTATTACCCAAAGACACTGTTCATATAACTAAGCATGCTTAGGACTACAATGATTTTATAGACTCTCTGATGTGAGCAGTTTTATTCAGAGTTCCTCTGGATTCCCTTATGCTGATCCCACTGCAGGTTCAGATTACACAGTTCAACATTAAAACATGTCAAATATAAACTAATAAAAACATTCATCAAGAAAGCCATAGCAAGTTCACACTGGCTGTCAGACTCCGCAAGTAGAGCAAACTATCAAGAAAAATATATCTGCTTTAAAAAGAAAACAAACAATTGCAAAATGGCTCATTTTGTTTGTTTTTCTTTTATCAGTCCAGAGATGAATCTTCTATTAACATCTGCCGTGTATCATCGTGTAATCCTCCTTTTCTCTTTCCTCCCAAACTACTGCAATTCAGGGTAACCCTAATCTTTAAAGTGGACAAGAACCATAAAACCCTACCTGTGGTGGGAAGGATTAGGGAGTACATCATGCTTTTTAGTAGATGGGATTTAAACAAGCAATAAGGAGAGGAAAACCTCCCAAGACATAATCCGACAGTCTCAGACTGACCCAATTCTTTCGCCGTAAGAAGTGATCATCACATATCTGTCCCGATTTAAATTGATGGCTAAGTGTGCCAAAGAGTTTTCAGCTTCTGCAGTGTATTTTTAACTTTGAGCTGACTTGAGCTCACACTTGAAACATGGGACCAATTTAATATTTAACTATACAAAATTGCATGTTAAGAACATTTAATTTAATTAGAACATTCGCAGCAATTGGGACAAGTCAGTAAAGAAAAAAAACAGGAAATTTAACTTATGCAGGATCCTGGTGAAAAGCTAATATATCATCCAGTAAAAAAAATGACATTCACCAGGCAGAGCATGGTACTAAAGGGATTCAACCTACCTTCCAATGGATAACAAAGAGAAAGAGAGAGAGAGAGAGAGAGAGGAGGAAGACAAGAAAAAAAAAAACAAAAAAAAAACTACGCGATGATTAACTACCCAAAAGTCCCAATTTTGCAGAAGATTCAGTTTTAAGAATGAGAGATTTTAATTATGATTGCAGGTAATGCTGGGAAAATATATGTAGCCACAATATGAAATAAACACACCCTTTCTCTCTCTCTATATATATATTTTTCCTTCCAAACAGCAGCAGAAAAATTGTGAATTTTTGATCTATAAACATTTCACCTAGCATTTTTACATTTCTTGCAAAAAAAAATTTAAAGGCCTTAAATTAAAAAAAAAAAAAAGGAAACTAAATAGAACTATAATCAAACAAAGCTCTGTCTGAAAACAATAAAATCATATGGAAACTAGTATTTCAGCATTAGCAATTCTTCTTCCTTTTGCTTGGAAGATAGAGTATATATCCAGCATTTTTCTTACGTACAAATTGGCACCAGAACATTAACATTGTTTCACAACATGCTGCAAGTCTAAAAAATAAGCAACTTTACAGAATGTCTGCACGAAAGTTAGAATATCACTTATAACAGATTAATAGTCGCTATGCAAATTTAACCAGGAAAAAAACAGTCATAACGTTCAGTATTTATGAAATAAAATTAAAGAAAGATTGATGGTTGTTTGGTTGTAATGGTTGTTGTGCTTTTATAGCTGCTACGCCACATTGTTAAATCTCATTCTTCCCAAATGAAATTAACAGTGCAACCTTGGACAACCTGAACAACCTTCACTCCTCTCCAGAAAAGGTAAGTTCAGACTTTCTGTTTGAAATTCCCTCCCTTTTCTGCTTTATTGTTCACATACCCTATTTACCACTTTTCTAAGCAAGGACAAACTGACACAATTTTTGTCAATGCCTACCAGCTGGAAGTCTTGCTGCAATAAAGCTATGCTCTGACCCCTGCTGGTAAAAACTGAAAACTAAGCCTCAAAAGCCACTGTCCTCCACCAACGTTTGTTGCATGCTTACAAACAAAGATTTGCTCTAATCCTTACTTTTTCTATCACACAGCAGAACTGCTACATATATTTCTCTCCTCCTTCAAGTGTTTTGCATACCTGTTGCTTACCTGTATTTATCAATGCTTTTGGTCGCAGCGCAGCTTGAACAGTTAAGGTATGAAAGAGCTTCCAAAGGGAGCAGGTATAACCCCTCAGTTCTGGTCTGCTGCCCTGACATCCGACCCACTGAATTCGCTTAGTGAGAAATATCCCAGAAATCTGAAAAGAATACGTATTTAAGATCTATGCAGCTCTGGGACCTAAATTAACTTAACAAACAATTTTGGAAGTGATACTCAGCTACTGAACATAGCAAGCATATTAAATAGCTTCAAAGTTCTTGAAACATGCTTTGCATTTTCACAGTTTTTTTCATGCATTTACACGTAAGCTGGTTTAACATTGAACACACAAACTCTTATACATGTTGGAAATAGCAAAGAACTTGAGACAAGCAAACTCGTATAACCACATATGAGTAATCCTGTATGATGTCAAAGCAACAGGCTGAAGTAGAACATTTTCTACCTGAAAAAAGACTTGTGGTTAAATAAGCTTACAAAAAAACATTTCTTGCTAATAAATTCATTTAAGGCAAAGACATTCAAAACTTGGAACAATCCTTCAGTAAAATCTGAGATATTCTGGTGAACCATTACTAAATTCATCCTTCTTGCAAACATATTACCTGACATGTAACGCACAGTCATTGATGCTAAACCTACTAAGATGCAGATCATGAATTTCTGATTAGTCTCATGGAATACATGCAACAGCTTAACTTGTAACTTTTTTTTTTTTTTTAGGCACAGTATAAAAAAAAAAAGATACACACACATACATATATTCATATATGCATATAACATTATTCTGGACTCAGGCTGAGTTACAATTTCACTAGGCACTATAAAAATACATTATTACTCAGTAAGAGCTACATGACTTACAGTACTAATGTATTAACAGGATAACACGTACAATCCATTATTATTTCTTCTAAACACAAAACCACTATTTATTCAATATATCTAAAAATCCAGTGTAAGATTTTAGGTTCAGTGGACTTATCTCTCTGCTTCCTAAAACATGCAAGCTTCCAGAATTCAGATAGTAATCCCACTTCATGGGAAGAAAGATTCATATTAATTTCTTCATATTATTTAAAGATAGGCCTATCATATTGCTTTGGACTACCAAAATGAGATGGGATTCCTAGCAAGGTCTACATTGTGGCAGGAAATTAAAGTGTTTTCTAAAAACTGTTCAGAAATAACGCCCCTTCCATGGGTAAATATCTCCTCTTTTAAACTCTGACCTTCAAGAGAATCCTAGCGATAAAATAATTGGTTGCATTCAAAGCCTTGAAAACCAATCAGAGAAAGAAAATAAAACGTGCATCTCAAGCACCCCAACATTTGACGAGCATATGGAATGATCAAACTCTGGAGAGGCTCTCATTCAGCTCAGTTAAAGAGAACAGTGTCAGTGACAACATACATCATACACACGTTTATGCCTGTTTTGGAAAGGGATGGAGAATAAAAGCAACTCAAAAATTTCTGCTGAGAATCTTAAATCATTTGAAGGTGACACAGGGAACATCTATATGTTAGTGATTGCTTGTTCATTATAAAACTGAGACAGGATTGCGTATTCCAATTCTCTCATTGCAATTCCTTCATGAGAATTTTTTTTCCTGGTAATGATTTCACTTCATTTTAACCTTCTTACAACTCCATTATGACTGAGGGACTATAAGTGAGTGATGTCTTAGGTTTATGTAGAATCTTATCCTTTACTAATGCTGTATTTTATGCTGGAAACTAGTAACAGCTTACCCGCATTTTGTTGTTGACCAGATCTAGGATAGCATCATAAGGGATTTTGTCTAATGGAAGGCTCACCAGCCACTCTTGCAAGGTCTCTAACAACTTTACCACAGACTGACGGCCAGGAAAAAGCTGAGGGGGTGGGAGGAAAAAAAAAAAAAAAAAACATTTTAAAGCTCAAATCTCATTAGCAGCAAGATAGTTTTATATTTATCTAAATGTATTTTTCTTGTCCTTTAAAAGCGTCAGTTAAACTTAACAGACTAGTGGGTTTTTCTGTTGTTACATGCAAATTAATCATTTGTTCTGTTTTTCAATAAAAAGCTATCTTATGCTGACGTTAGTTCATGAAATTTAACAAGTTGCATGCACATAACGTTAACTGGTAAAATGCAGCTATTCAATAGCATGCAGAAATGCTACAGAACAACTTTTGACAGACTACGTAGAATTTTGCATTGAGGTAACTCAGCTCAGTATACAGCTCAAGAAGGAATTTTTGCAGAGAACTCTAGGGCCCTAATTTTTAAACGTTCAGCATGTTTCACATCTATTCTCTCTAACAGTACTCATATCAAAGGAGGCATCACACACTTCAAATAATATCTCATCTTTTGGATCATAAATTCAAATGAAAATGAAGATGTACCAGATTACAAACGAGTTTGCCAATTCATCTTTCGACAGTGACTTTATTGACATGACTGGAATGTTTCTACATGCATTTATAATCCTAATTTCTCAAGTTACTACACAAAACAACTAGCTTCACTATCCAACAGTAAACTAGAAGCCTATTAAAAAGTTACATATGGATTATTAATACCTTAACTTTTATGGGCATATGAACAAAGTGAATTAGAGAGGCATACGTCCCTTCTCACTCTTAAAAGATCAGTTCTTAAAAGATTAGTTCAAAAATTAGTTCTTGTAAATATTTTGTTCAGATTTCTGTAAATGTAGATGATGTCGGTTTTCTAGAAAATTAATCTATTTTTTGTATGTGTAATAGTGACTTCCAAACGTTTGCAAGTTAAAGAACTCAGGGTCTGGCAGATAAGTATGAGGAACCATAAAACACAGTTGTCATGTCATTATTTTACACTAGCAATGGTATTTTGCCTTTCTGATTTTTCTAATTACTGCAGAATTCACTGCTACGTTAAATCCATAGAGTTACTTATGACAGAAGATGCCAGTTCATTCTGTAGTAGTTGTTCAACTATTCATAACTTCTCTTACTGGCTCAAAGGCTGTTTATTTGATACTATGTCAGTCTCTCGGGCAAGAGCTCCCTTTTGCTGACTATCCATACAGGCTCTAACACGAGGGGCCTGGTGCATTGTTTGGGTTCAAAGACAGCTTTTAAATAGTCAGTAATAAAAAGAGTACATCTCTGAACTAGTAACTGCATGCTATAATTATGTTAACTACTGTAGGATCACCAAAATATTGTGCATTACCATTGGAAAGACAAAAGTTGCAGAGTATCTCAGGTAGACGTCAGTCTCATAGAGGATTCAAAAGAACAGCCTTCTGCACTAAAAGCCAAAAGACCTAATTCTACAACAATGACAATTCCTGAGTAGGAGACTGGAGATCAGATCAGCGTGACACGCGAGGTAACGTCACCATAAATGCTGTTAAACAGGAGGACGTTACACAAAGTCTTGAAGTCCAGATTCACAAAGCTGTTTTTATTAATTGATCGATAAATATTTAGTTAAAAGCAGAGGGTGAGGTAAAGAGTTAAGCTTTTAAAATAAAAGATTGTAGCCTGGAAAAGATGCATATAATTATGGTACCAACATTGCACACTTTGTCATGCTGACAGTCTCAAATCTAAAGGATCCTAATGGAAACACATGAGAATTATGAATGAGAACTATGAGAAAAGTGTTACACAACAAGAAAACGCAAATAAAGGACAGCATTCCTCATTTATCCAATTGCAGTCTGGAGATGAGACTGCAACTAAAAGAGAGCATTCCCCATTTATGCACTAATAGCCAGGAAAGTAAATTACATCAGCTGGCCAGGAGCCATCAGGAAGAACAGAGGATGTTTTAGGGATAATATGATGGAAAGATTAGCACTACACTTTCTTAAAGAAATGAGGCCAGCTAGAGATTTCTGACCTCTGTGGCTGGGAGGGGTGGGGGGAAAGCAAGACACTGTCTGTCTGATTTTCAGATAAATGCAGATACTTGCAAATATTTCATATGACCCTTATTATTCCCTTAAATAGCTATTGGTTTCCCTTGTTTAAAATAAAATGTTTATTATTCAGTAAAGAGACACTAGTTATTTCAGCTATCATTACAAAGTTAAATTATTTTAAATTTTTCAAGTTATATCACATTGCATTACTTATTACACTTAGTCAGTATATTCAAAATTTAGACTGAAGTTAGCAATATCTTTAAACGTTCAACCATTTTCTGAACACTATATTTGTCAAATAAATATGATAATATGGCTATGCACTAACAAAATCTGAAAGTCAAGAATGAAAAACAAGGTTTCCCCACCCACACTCGGACACAGTAGCTACTCATCCTGAAAATACGATAAATGGGCTAAATTTATAGTGTTTGTTCTATGTGCTGCAGACCACATAGTCTTTATTTAATTTTGCGCCTTATAATATCACGTTAAAACGCATTTCAGTCCTACAAGTATTTCAGAACTGCACACAAAAGCTCAAAAATAACATTTAAAGAAACCCACAAAAGTTTCACATCCTAAGCTAGTGAGGAAACATATATTTAAACATATTCTGAAAGACATTGAGAGGTGTGTGTCACATAAGAAATTTTATGTTAGAATCACTTTACTCTTGCAAATAATCAAAGACGAGAAGTGTATACCTTGGCAGAGACGGTAACAAAATCCTTGAAGGTCTTTAGCTCTGCTCCCTCAAGTGTCTTGTGCGTAGCGAGCTCTACTCTGAGCAGGTAATGCAATCCTGATTCAAGGTCAGCCATGTACAGCTTAGATCTGAAACACACATATATAACGTTATAAAGTGGCAGGTTTCTTTCGCTCATTTTCTCACCAGTCATGAAGGTAAAATTGATATATAGTAGGTGTCATTAAAACCTTCAACATTTGCCACTCCATAGTGATTGCAGTATATCCTACACCATGTATGGAAAGATACAGCAGTAACTCCAGGTGTTTGGTATGGTGAATGTCAAGCTCAATGAGTTTCACTGTACTCCTCTTTTAAAAAAAAAAGAGTAGTTTTATGTCATTTTATGCAGAGATTACACAAACGAAGTATAACCATACACAAGAAGTTCTTTTGTAGTTGAGCAAATTTTTTGCCTCCCAGCCAGCTTTACCATATAATGAAATTATAACCCTGACATTGTCAGAAAGGAAATAGCTGGTGTACAGAAGTTATAGCTTCTCTTTAGAATCCAAACAAATCGAAAATTATATCCTACGAAAAAGGGAGCCTTTTGTTTAATAAAAGTAGATTACACAGAACAGGAATGTAAACAAGACTGAAAAAAGTCAATGTTAAAAAGGACTGAACCTAGAAATCCTCTCTATAATGTAGTAGTTTTACTGTAGGTTATTTGCATACAAGTTTAACTGTCAATTTAAATCAGATCAGTCTTGAGACATAATTAAGCATCCTATGACAGGTACAAGTGAAACATCTAAAGCAAATCACAATTTTTTTTAAACAGTTCTTCACATTTAGAACTATTACAGCAACGAAAATTCATAACAAAGAAATTCACAGCACAAAGCTCTTTACAAAATACAAATGCATCAAGTTCAACGCCCTCTTTCAATACTTTCAGATAACCTTGAGTCAGTATGATGCAGAGCAATGCAGCAGTACAAGCAGAAGTTCATGTAATTAAGAGTGCTAAACACTTTACAAAAGAGTTCAATAGCATTATCACTTCTAAAAGCAAGTAGTTATTTATTTTTAATTCTAGTCAAAAGCATATCTGTCCCCATCCTGAAATAATATGCATTAAATTTTATTTATATACACACACACAAATACAGAATAATCTACATTTTTAACAACTCAAATTGCAGGCTTATTCTGACATTCACCTCCTTAGTCAATAATGTACTCACTTATACTAAAAAGAGTGAAATTCTGTTGACTTCAAGTTTCTTGAAGAGACATCCATACGCGTGTATGAGATTCACAAAAAACCCCTATCGGGAAGATGCTTAGACTGGAGATCCATACCAACAAGACTTTGTTCTGCTGGAAAGCAGCTCAATTTAACCAGGTTGCTTTGATAACAATTTTCTACATAAAATACTTTCTTATAGTTGTTGTTGAAAGAAAATGACACTAATAGCATTCATAAAATGAAAATAAGCACGAAATGAAAGCACTTAGTCCTACATCTTTTCCATCTAAAGATGTTGAGGGATTATCTCTCTGCAAAGCCCTCGTATCCTTCTCTCCAACAGAGAAAGAGGGTGAAGATAAACCTTACTGGATTTGGTACGATAAATGCCTCTTTTTGTGACTTGAGGGTTTTCTATTACATTAGCGTTTGCCAAGCACTTTCTAGTGGACATTGCCTCACTATTACATTCCTAAAGAAAACAAGAATTCTGTGTGTATGAGTTACAGTTCATTGTTATTTTAGTATTTACTTTTTTTTGGGACACTGATTTATTTGCAGAAGTTTTCCAACAATTTAAGTCAGTGATCTACGTATTTCAGGTACTAGTAAATGAGTCCTTGATATTTTTACATCAGTAAAAGTATTTAAAGAAAGTATTTAAAAATACTTTCTAAAAAAATTTGCCTTCCATAGCAGTGCAAATATTTGCTGGGGGAAAATCACCAGATACGATTGCAAGAAGGTTAGCTTCAGTTAGTAGAAGTTGTGCTCTTGCTTCTTGCTTGGAATTGAATTGATTCACTAGTGTTACCCGAATATACTGAGAAATGGATAAGTTGAAGGAACAGCTGAAAGCAATGCTTTCTGTTTGATGCCATTGTTTATCCAGCATTAAACATGAAAGCATTTCATTCTCCTGAGCGGAAGACTGCAGACCATTAGGTTGTGATCAACCTATTCAACTCAAGATGCATCGCTTGGGATGGAATGAAGTGAAGTTTTCAACTACACTAAGATTTCGCAACATATTATGCTACAGCTTCCCACATGACAAGAATAAAGTGCAAGCAAATTTTAATAAACAAGCATTAATCTGAAAATCAAGGGTATCACTTACTTATCAAATTCTTTCCACATCTTGATTTCTGCGCTCTCCTCTTTTTTTTCCTTTATAGGTAGCTGAAGTGGCAAAAGAAGTTTTCTTCTTACACCTGGCAGTGACTTTAAATATGAAGAAAAGAAAGACCGTAGAGGCTTCAAACTGCATATAAAGCAAGAAAGTAAAGGTTATTTTTCATCTCAAACTAAGTGAATAGCCAAAGCAAACGAGTATATTTTGGAAATAAAACGTGCGCTTTTTCTGTTTTACAATTCCGGTAAAAAATGTTACATTTTGTTACAAAGTGAAATGAAACACTGTTTAGTTTAGGAACAGTAATAATAAAAAATAATCTGGATTAGTGGTTTGAAATCCCATTCAGAATAGGAAAAACATGGTATGTTCATAAAATTCACATCCTGTCAGTTCACCCTACACAGGCAATGTTCACATGGAACAAACATTTTGACTTGGGAGCATGTTTTTTGCGGGGGGGGGGAAGGAGGGGCCTTTAATAATTCATTAGTTCTTTCCACTTTTATTCTGAAGTATTTTCCTTTCACAAGTATCACAGTAATAGGTTAAAGCTACAAACTGGTAACAGTGGTAAGCAAAAGTAATATTAGGTCTCTTATTTAAAAAAGATAAGAATATTAAATGGTTCATTAAAAACTACCAGCACATTGCTAACAGCATATCACAACTCTGAACACTCAGCATTGGCCCAGAGCTTCTTTTTCGACCTAGGAAACCTTCAAAATCACCTATTTCACAAAAGAATTTTGTCAGCAGTATAAACTTGCTGCTGTAGACAAACATCACAAGGGTTACAACAAAGTGCTCGTGCCATTTTGGCTAGCCCATACAGTAAAATCTAACCTCTCCTGGCTTACCCCATATCTGTGTATTTTAAGCATCCACAAAGAGCAAACGATGTAAGAAGACCATTAAATATGATTATCATACATACACCCAGTCGCAAGACTGTCTAAATAATGTTCAAGATGGACAATTTTCAAAGATAAGGAAAGGGAGCGCAAAACTTCAGTTAGTGCACTGTATCAATTACATGCTAAGATACAATGTCATTATATAAACAAAAAGGTTATAAAATAGCTTCCTTTCATACAAAGCTAGTTATGGCAACTGTTATAGCTTAAGTAAACCCATTAAAGCAGCACACATCTCTCAGAGACGGATAACTACTTACATGTTAATTAATCCATGGGATCCATTTGGATGCAACAGATAGCATGAAGGGACTGAGGTAATACCGAGTTTCTCTAGAAAAGGCTTATCAAAATTCAATGCTCTCTTTACCACAATGTTTTCATACTGAATCAAGTCTAAAATAACCTGGAAAATGAAAAGATAACATGAATTATACATTGCACTAGGAATATCCAATCTTGTAGGACAAGACAGGTAAATAGGTGAAGTGCATCATCCTTTAAGAGTATCATTAAGCTGTTCACCAAGGAAGTGAACTATGCATCTACTAGCATTCTCCAGACACTAACCATTTCTGTTGAAGAGGATTTACTCTTCTCTGGAAATGATTTATTCCTGCCCTCTGTCTTTTTCTTGTTCTACCCTGATCTTTTCCCTTTGAAGTCTAACATCTGAAGAAAGCGTGAGAATGAATGAATGAATGATAAAACATTCTCATAAACTTCAAAATAGCCCAGAGGATATTTCACAGGCACCAGCAGGTGTATGTTTCATGTTATATATGTAAGCGTTTAAAGGCAAATTTTCAGGTAGTGAAGGAACATTTATTTGGTCCCACTGCTTATGACATCCTGATGTTGAAGTCCATGACTTAGAAACAATCAAGGACTTACATAAGTTAAGGCTTTACCTGACAAGCCCTGTCAAATCACACTGTGTAATTGGTGGTGTCACAGCATCTACCTGTTCATCCAGCTCTTTTTGTTTACCAAACCCACAGCAGAGACTGCAGATTGGAATACAGTGCCCATACCTCAAATGTTTCAGTCCACAGTCCAGCATCTAAGCTCAAACCAATCTTCCTCAGCTGTTTAAATCTGATGCTGGGCTTTTGCACTGGAGCAGCTGGCTGGAGTGGGCATATGTTCTTTGCAAGGGGTAAACTCCAGCAAAGGGGGAAGGAGGCAGAAGAGGGTGGTGACAGCAAGATGCCTCCGAGATTTGCCAGGATTCAACTATCAAAGTTTTTTGCCAACTACAGAGTTACACCTATGAATATGACGACTTAGCTAAAGCAGTGAAAATTTGTTCAAACCCCTCCCCGAAACAAACAAACAACAAATCCCCCAAACCACCCTAAACTCCCATTTCCCTTCTTAAATCCTTGAAGATCTCACTGCTAAAGGCAATCCTCTTCTGCTGTTCTAATAACTGCACTCCTCAGATCCATACATTAGTTTATGCTCTCACATTACCATTTCAAATGCTCCATTTTTACCTGAAACCTGGAAGATTTTGTAGACTCTCCTTACATTCCTACTTGTCTTTCTTTCACTTTTACCTCTCTTTTATATTTTTTACTGTTCCTAGTTTCATAGCTTTCACTATGCTTCTCCCTTTTAGGGATATTATCTTTGCTACATTTTCCCCTCACCTTCAGACTTGTATTTTAAAAGCCTGTTCTTTCTTTCCCTCAATGCTAAATACATGCCCTTTCTTTCTTCAGCTGTTGAGACTTCTATTAGGTTTGTCCATATTGTCTTACTTGCACTGCAAACTTGAAAATGTGATGTTCTTTGTTTCACTAAGATGTCCTATAAAGCTAACATACTACATAACAGTAGCAAATATTTCTCTGCTGAAAGTAGATTCCGTTTTCTGTTATTCAGATGACACTGAGCTTTCCCCATAGCAGAGGGTAATAAAATTAAAGTGAGCGTGATAAAATGCTGAAGAACTTCATGTTCATCACCTTTCTTCTTGTCAGTAAGGCCCACTTGTATCAATACAGCAGTTTCCAGAAACAAACGTCTGGAAGCACTCTGCTTCTCAAAGCGATTTCCAGCTTTGGCAGCACATCCTCCTCCACTTATACAACTGGGCCATCTCAGCATCAAATCTAATTAGAAACATTTCACAGACACTCGATGTTTCTACACAGATTATGCCTAGATAATTATGCAATTTATTTTCTTTACTTATCCTAAATTTTGGCAGCAAGAGAAAAGTAACAGTTGCCTAAGCTAACAGCAGGCTCATTAGGTGCTGGCCTGAAGCCAAACTGAATATTTTATTCGGGAGAGGGGGAAGAGAGGGCAAGCCAAAAAAACAAAGACTCACTTCCTTAAGGCCTCAGATCTGTGAAAATACTTATTCTCTAAATTAGGATGATTACATACAGGTCATAAGAAATTTCATGCTAAGAAAGGGACCCAGAGATTTTAGACTACTATAAAGAGTTGAAATCACAGAAGCTGCCCAGAAGAACAAATATTATGAATGGTTCTCTAGCAGTAACAAAAGAATAAGTCACATATAATCTGATAACATTTTTCCCTTGATCTTCCAAATCTTGAAAGAATTGTGCTAACACCAAAACTGATGAACTATTTTTCCAGTAATGTATGAAAGGAAGAAGTTAACATGACATCATGCTCAATTTTAAGCAAGTTTCTTTGTGTGACTGAATGCAACTTTAAAGCCTTACGTCATCACTTGACTTCTGATATCTCAAATGTGCATGATCTTCTTTTCATCTCCTCTTTAATCTCGTATTATTCTTGCTTGGCTAAATAATATAAAACTCAGCTGTGTTATTGATAACACTCATTTATATTAATTATGTCATTCACAAGTCATACATTACCTCTCGTCCAACATAGGAGTTATTACTTTCAAAGATGATGGCAGTATAATGAGGGCTACTCTTGTCAAAAAGAGAAGTAATATCACTGGACCTTTTAAGAAGAGAAAAGCCATTTAGCACAGGAGAATGTAAATAATCTCATCGACACTGATGCAATTCCTTTTAATCATCTTGATATGATTATTAGTTCTGCTACAAACGTACTTTAACAAGTCTTTTCACATTTTATTTCATTAGTATAATAAGCATACACTAGTTGTGTTTTAAACAAGGAACTTACGAAACTGGATCTAAGGGCGGGCAAGCAGGTGGCCTCAACTCTTGGGAATGGTTCTGTAAGAAGTCAATCATCATCTGGCGAACTGTTTGCAGCTCACGATCTGCTCCTGCTGA